TGAATCTTCTCACTGCCTGTGTACCTCTGGCCTGCACCTGTTCTGTATGCATAAATAAACAAATCTTAAAAAAAAAAAGTTTAAGTCTCAATAAAACTAATAGATACAATGGTTCTGGTCAGAAATCAAGGAAGCCAGAGGTAGTAGCCTGACTTAAAGCACAAAAAAAAAAAAAAAAAAAATCAACCAAGAATTCTGTTTTTAATATTGTTAAAACAGCAATACTTCCTAAAACAATCTATAGACAACACAATCTACAAAAATCCCAATGGATATGCTTGAAGAAAAGGAAATACCAATTTTAAGATTTTTATGGAATGGCAAGGGACTCCAAAGAAAAACTTGAAAATAAAGTTGTGGAATTCCTATTTCCTGATATCAAACGTTCTGCACAGCACAGCAAAAGTAATCAAAATAGCGTGGTACTGACATAAGGATAGACACAGAGACTAAAGGGAAGGAACTGAAGAGCTGGGAAATTATCCTGGACATCCACATACAACAGGTTTTCAACATGGGTGGAAGATTATTCAAAAGGGAAAAAAAAGCAGTGTCTGCAACAAGTGGTGTGGGATCAACTGGATAGGGACAGAGGAAAGAATGATGGGGGATCCCTACTTTGTACCAAAGATAAAATTTTAGGCAAAATGTAATCCTAAATGTAAGGGCTAAAAGGGCTACAAATACTCTTACAAGAAACTATAAACCATGACCTTGGAGTTGGCAATGTTAGATAGGATACCAAAAGCACAAGAAACAAAAGAAAAAAACAGGCAAACTAGACCTCACTAACATTTTTAGATGCTTTGCATTATAAAAACTTTAAAGAGAAACTGGGGGATGGGGAAAAATATGTGCAAATCACACTGATGACAGCAGACAACCCCAACATGAGTTTGAGTTCACAAAAATATGTTCAGCATCATTAGAGAAATGCAAATCAAGCCCACAATAACATACCACTTCACATCATCATTAGGACAGCTATAAAAAGATAGGTATTAATGAGGACACAGAGAAACTGAACCCTCCTACATTGCTGATGGGAAGGTAAAATGGTACAGCAACTATGGAAACAGTTTGGTAGCTCCTCAAAAAAGTTAAACACAGAATTATCTTGTGACCCACGAATTTCACTCCTAGGTACATAACACAGAAAAACTGTAAATAGACACTTAAGCACAAATGCCCACAGCACCATTCACAACCACCAGATTGCCACAACTCAAATATGTACCAATAGGAAGATAATATACAAGGCACGTATGCATAATGGCCCCCTGCAAAGACAAGGCAGTTCTACAAAAGACCAAGCAAACAAGAGTTACCAGATGACCCACTGGTTCTACATTTAGTTATACCCAAAAGAATCGAAACTTACATTCACATGAAAACTTGTGAACAAATCCCATAAGCAGCATTACCCAGCAGAGTCAAAAGTCCAGAAATAACCCAAATGTCCCTCAGCTAATAAATGGATAAACTGGCACACCACACAATGAAATATTACTAAGGTTAATTTCTAATACTGGCTACAAAATGATAAAAAACTATTATGCTGAGCAAAAGAAATCAAACATAAAAGGCCTTTATGGATATTTCTAACTAAATGAAATATCCAGGTGGGCAAATCCCTATAAACAGAAAGGAGATCAGAAGTCCCAGGACTAGCAGGAAGGTGAAGCAGGGAGTGACTGATAATGGGTACAGGCTTTCTTTACACTGTAAAGAAAATGTTCTGGAGCAAACTTAATGAATATGCTAAGGCCACTGAACCATATATTTTATAATTGTGAATCATGTTGTATGACGTATAGTTCAATTTTTATGCTTAATTTTCAAATCTGGCTTGCAATAGGTCAGTTAAAACCAAAAATTCTTCATTTTGCATTTGTCCACTAAAGTGGACAGCTAAAATCGCTGACATAAAAGTGAGTTCAGTTACTAGCAGCAGGTGAACCAGAGTCTCAAGTGAACACCAGGAGCACTGGCACCTGTACTGGGTAGTGGTGTGAATTACATGCTGGGAGGCTCCCCCTTCCAACTTTCAACTGGAGTGAGTAATTTCCCAAGTCATGAATGATGTTTAAGTCTTATTTCCTCCACCTGCAAAGCTCACTGTGGTCTAACAGCATCAGCCTTGTCCTTGGCTCCCATTCTCTGTTGTTTCTGCACAGAAGATCTCAGCTAGAGGAAGAAGCATGTAATTGATTTAGCTAGATCAATGAAACTGAATGATGGACAGCTGTAAACATGATTCCCTCTCCTAAGCTCCTCCCATGCTCTAGGTCCCATAGAGTGTTCAGGAATTTTAGAAATCAAAGTTTAAAACAGTTAAGACAGGTTGTCTCCGAGGCGGGGCTGTAGTGAAAATGCCAGAGATGAATCTTACTGAATAATGGCCCTTTCTCAGCCTTTTCCAGTTTTCCCACATTTTAAAATTAAAGGGTGGGATCATGCCAATTTAGCGTAAAGGACGGTGGGTGCTTGGACAGAAAGGGTGGTAAGTGACATCCAGCTGAGGAGATGTGAACCTGAACCTATTCCCTAAATCATGTACAATGTTGTAAACCAAAATAGGATGGGGGAGGAGGGGAGGGGTATTAAGGCATACCTTGTTTCACTGCCCCGAAAATATTCCTTTTACAAATCGCCTTCCTTTTACAAATCGCAGGTCTGTGGCAGCCCTACATGGAGCAAGTGTTCACTTCAGATCTGTCTGATTTACTTCAGCCCCATGTGCTGTCTTTTTAGACGTAGTGCTGGTGTAGTGCACATTTATCAGGATTGTGATAAAGTTAAAACATAACTTTTACAAGCACTGGGAAATGCATGACTTGCTTTATTATAGTATTTGCTTTATTTGTAGTAGTCAGAAACTAAACCCATAAAATCTGACATGTGCCTGTCACTATTAAGAAAAATAAAGTGGTAACGACTGATTATTAAACTTCTCTGCAAGAAAAACTAAGGAAACTCAATCCACCTCAGAAGATTGCACCACAAATAAGAAAGAGCTGGATGCTCTCAAACTGAATTGCTATGACCACAGAAATGCATCCTGAAAAGTGGATCAAAACCTTTTCTGTATTAGGTAAACACTAATTATTTTTGCTAAACAAAATAAACACAAATAAAAAGTATAATAAAAAGAATAAATAAAGTATACTTTTCCATCGCAGAGCTAGGAAATTCTACATAAGAACTGCCTACAGTGAGTGGTTCACTCCAGAGTCATAAAGTAAAAGCCTATGGGAACTGTTCTAAAAGTTCAACAAAAGAAACCTGCAGTCACATAAAGTGCAGGTAATCTGAGATAGAGACCACACCTGTGTAATGCGGGCTATTTTCTGGGAAGCTCAGATCACTGACCACATCTGAGGTTCACAATACCCCATTCCAATGAATATAAGGATCCAAATATGTGTTATATCTGTTATTCAACACAGAATGGCACATATGACAAAGTGGTGGCTGACATATATTCAAATTCAGTAGAAAGTTTTCTTTCAACACACTGAAAAAAATAAGGAAATAGAGACATTGTTTCTATTCTTAGTTATTTCTTCTGTAACTGAATAAGGGATTGAATTTCTGCTAATAAGAAAGTGATTAAAGATGGCCTAATTAAATGAAGCCTACAAATGCTTAATTCTTTGAAAAATTTCAAACATCAACAAGCAAACATAAGTAACTGTTACTCCTAGGCTGGTTGTTGGCACAATGGTAAGAGCTTTACTTTTCTACCTTCCCCCTCCTGATTCTGATGCTTTAGGCACTGAAATGAATTTATTTTGTGTAAGAAAATTCTTGGTTTTAAACTGTTAATGCTGAGATACTCTCTACCCCAGCTTCTTTTACTGCTTCGTGTTTTAAAAGTACTAAGAATCTCTCACAAGTATATGAAAAGTTTCAGGCTTTTTCCCAAGAAATACTTCCAAATTAATACCAAAGGAGATGTCATACTTCCATCATCTGTTTCAAAACAAACACGCTTTTATGATAAAAGTTCCAAGGTCTTAAAAGCTTGTCTAGTGACTGAGCAATATTCACTCAGCATTATTTCCTGAATAGCTACTACATACCCCCGACTGTTCCAGAGACTAGAAACAAACACAGCTGCGGACAAGACATGCTGAACTGCCACTGCACATCATTCATTATGTTGATGACTCAGTCTCCAATAATTACAAGTAGCAAGAATTACAAATACTACAATATGAGTCGGCAGGATTCAGCAGGATCTATAACACGCCTACCGCAGGCCAGAGAAATCCTGTTCCTAAATAATTCCAGTTAGCGAATTAAAAGCAGAAGAGTCTGGTTTCCCAGGTTCCCCATGATTGAATATACTCTCTTGGCTTCTGGACTGTACATCTCTAAGCTATAATATTTACATCGACGCTTTCATGTGATAGCCGGTTATAGCCACGCACCTCACAAAATACGCTAAGAAAGCCGTCCCCTTTCGAGCAGAAAATATCACCAAAAAACGAAGCATTTCCAGTCAATACTCTAAGCAACCAGTAAAATGCGATTCTCTGAACTGATTAAAGCTCTGAGGTTCCGCTTCAGCCAGGGCAACCTGAAAGCTGAGACAAGTAAACGCCCTCTCCGTCACCCTAGAAATAATGCTGTGTCCAACATTTCTGCGCACTGAAAACGGTGTTACGCACGAAACCCACCTCGGAAGGGCGAGGGGCGCTGACGCCCCATCGCGACGGAGGGCCAACCCGGCCTGCTTCGGAGCCCAGGGCCTCGGCACGCTCCCGCCGCGGTGCGGCGCTGCCCGGGGTCGCAGAGCCCG